AAGAAGGAAAGCATAAGGTTTTAAGGAGGCAAGTTTCTGCAGTGGGGGCAGTGCACCCACAGGAGAAGCCAAAGCCTGCTACAGACTCCATATCCCCATCAGCATACATAATTAAGTGGAAAAATCAGAGAGATGTCAAGATGTACGTAGCACGCATGAGGAAGCAAATTTCCAGTCTCACAACAGAAGCACGCAGTCTCAAGCAGCTCAGCTTCTGCTATCAGCTGAGCTGCAGCAATTGAACAGGGCAGGCTAAAAGCACACGCTGATGAAGAACACATAAGCCTAAGCTAGAGCTCATGTTAGTGCGGGTGTTCTGAATGCCCCAGATGCAAAGTAAAAATTCCATCTAACCTGCCTTGCAGTGGCTTATACTGATGGGCATTGACTCAAGAGGAGGCAGGCAAGGGGCATGCGATCAGTAACCGCTTGTTACTGCGGCACAGAAATTTGGGTACTTGGAACCATTCAGCCTTACCCTTCATTTCATTTCAGTACACAGTAAGAGGAGAGAATCAGGCTGGGACTAACATAGCATCAGCAAGCACATAAGGCAGATTAAACGTGAGCATCAGTCAACAATCACACATTCTGCATTGAACTGGCATGCATCAATATATTAAAAAAAAAATAATTTAAAACTTTGTCCTAGGCACTTGGGTACTAAGGAAAACTCCTGCAGCTAAGCTTTAAGAACACAGAGCACACATACTCTAGTTACATACAGAAGGCCAGACGCTTACAGAGGGTTCAAACACTTGCTAAGCACCACACACTGCTAAAACACACGCTGTATGAAACTGAGCAGCAACTTGCACAGAGCACGGATGGGTAGGTGCTGCTTGAGAACTTCAGCAGCTGCTGTTGCAGCCTTGTAACAACAAGAGCTTGTACAGATGTGTAAGAGTACTCCTGTCACTTCTCAGACTTACCTTAAAAATGACTCCCCCAGTAGAAGAGCACGTCAACATATAGTTGCCCTCAGAGTCAAAAGCAAAAAGCCTCCCTCGTGGGAATTGGACTTGCTTGTAGCCACTGTACCCGGACAGAACAAAAGGACCCGTAGCTTCGCTGGGAAGATCATACTCAGACACCTTCAAGCCACTTTTGTGAATATTCCACTGAATAAACTAGAATGACAAAAAGACATGACAAAAGCGCATAGTTTAATGGACTGGGATGAAAGTAGAGAGGCCATTTGTGGTTTTTAAGCAAAGTGGCTATTCCTCACAAACAGAGGATGGCATTTTGACATCTATATCTAAGTGGGTGTATTTACAAAACACAGGCTGCAAAAGCTGTAAGAGTGCCTACTATCCAGGCAAACACAGAGGCTCTAGCTTCCACAAGCACTGCTGCCTATGTGTCTTTCCACACTGCATGCAGGATCCTGGTGGGAATTCACTTAACTGGCATCAGCCAAGGACCCGCACCTTTAGGCAGTCTCCCTCCCGGATCCACACCTCTACTGCTGAAGACTGGAACCACAGAAATTGAAGCCTTTCTTACAAGCAACAGGGAGCTGCTGATAAGGAAATTTATGCAAAGTGGTCAAGGATCTGGTCCCTGGTGGATCCCAGATCTCAAATGTGGTGATCTCAGGGGCATGGAAAGGTCATCTTCACTTTCCATAGGATTCCATAGGAAGGGGATGTCGCCAACAGTAGGATTTGCAGACAAGGTCCAAGACAGCTCCAGCTGTTAACATGCTTTCTAGCCACTCTCTCTGCAGACTGTATGCAGCAGGGTGGTGCTGCACAGCTAAAATTACAGTTAGCAGCCCACAGATCCTCCAGATCCTGAGGGTATTTTTACTGCTATCCCCACCATATGGAGAAGACCTCAGAAGGGATCTCACTGCCAGCCGACCAGTAGAAGGTCACCCAGAGCCTACCTTGCCATCCTCGCCTATGCTGTAGACTGTGTTCTCATCATAGCTGAACTCAACGGAGTAGACTTCCCCGTCGTGTGCCTTCCAGCTCATGGCGCACTCGTGCTGCTGCATATCTGAGGGAAGAACCAGTACTGAACACTCCTCATAGATGCACAGAACTGAGGTAAAGACAGAGAGGCCCTTTACGTTCATAAGGTCTCTGTCCCAGCCCTCTAAATCAGTCTGGGGGAGCCCAATCCGATGCCAGCACCCCGTGCTTGTTCTCCAACATGTGGCTTTTACACTGGCCACAAAAATCATCGCCTCTAACTAGTCACCTCTTCCTCCAGCTTTATAGGGCTGCTCACATGCTCACTGTCAACTGCAGACATTCAGCATCCAAGCCCCACTGCCACCTTTCTTCTTCTCCTCCCCTTGCTATCCTGTCCACCCTGACAGCTGCTGCTGGTTCTACCCTCCCACAGACGTGGGACTGCAACCTCCAGCTCAGCACCTGGGCCAGAAGCAGATCCCTCATTCACAGAAGAGGGAGGCCCAAACTGCCTTTATCACAAGGACAGGCTGAAGAGGACAAAACCTGAGAAACAGAAATTGCTTAGGGAAGGAGGACTGAAGTGAAGCCCTTGCCTTCAACTGGAAGGTCACACATTAATTCCTTTCCTCAAGACTCAGCCTCTGGCAGTAGTACTGCTATATGGCACAGGCAAGACCACATGGCTCAAAGGCAAGGTAACTCTGCTCCTCAGCAAGAAGGAAACAACAAATCCAGCAGCACTACCAGGGTCTCCAGCCAATGTCCCCCAGAGAAAGTTTATGTCAGTTGACTCCTGATAGCTATTGTGGAGGAGAGATAATAGCTTCCACCTTGGTGTTCAGGCATGTCTCACTGCTGCCTCGCTGCTGGCAGAAGAAAGGTGCTAGGAGTAGCCACCTGGGGACACTGAGGGGCCACCTCACGGCCCAATTTCATAGAATCGTTTAGGTTGGAAAAGATCATCGAGTCCAACCGTAAACCCAACACGGCCAAGCCCGCCCCTAAACCGTGTCCCCGAGCGCCACGTCTACACGTCTTCGAAATACCTCCAGGGATGGTGACTCAACCACTTCCCTGGGCAGCCTGTTCCAGGGCTTGATAACCCTTCCAGTGAAGACATTTCTCCTAATACCCAATCTAAACCTCCCCTGGTGCAACTTCAGGCCCTTTCCCCTTGTCCTGCCGCTTGCTACTCGGGAAAAGAGCCCGACACCCCCCTGCTACAACCTCCTTTCAGGCAGTTGCAGAGAGCGATAAGGTCTCCTCCCAAAAGCCTCCTTTCCTCCAGGCTAAACAGCCCCAGTGCCCTCAGCCACTCCTCACAGGGCCTGTTCGCTAGACCCTTCAGCAGCTTCGTTGCTCTTCTTCGAATGCGCTCCAGCACTTCAAGGTTGGCCTTGTAGTGAGTGAGGGGCCCAAAACTGACCACAGTCTTGGAGGTGCGGCCCCAGCAGTGCCAAGTCCAAACGCACAATCAGGTCCCTTGTCCTGCTGGCCACACTATTTCTGATACAAGCCAGAACACTATTGGCCTTCTTGGCCACCTGGGCACACTGCTGGCTCATATTCAGCTGGCTGTTGACCAACACCCCCAGGTCCTTGTCTGCCGTACCAAAGAGACGAACAATCCCGTCTGCAGCCCCGGTGACCAGCAGGTTGCCGTTGTGGTTGAAGGCTGTGCAGTTAATAGCAATGGGCTCAGGCTCCAGGGAGAACTGCAGCTGGAAGGGAAAGTCTGCATTAATGCTGAGAAACGGAGCTGGGGGTGCCAAGAAGCTGATCTCCAGGGGAGGGAGGGAAGACGGTATTTAGTAGCAAGAACTCCTCCAGTTTGGAGCCCTACACCTCTTGTGACTACAGACTTCAAGGTTGGCAGCTGCATTTTACTATGACACTAACCCAACAATTCACCTCAGCCAAGCCACAGCTTTCTTGGCCATGGCCTCAAGGCTGCAAAACCAGCTTCTGGCAGGCATTAGCTTAAGTATGTTGCTTTCTCCTACATGACAGGGACAGTATTTTTTAAGGGCAAAGGTGAGGGATGGGATGAGATTCCCTGTCAGAGTCTGACCCATCTAAATCAAAACAATGGAGAAGATGACATGAGATGAAACCTCTGAAGGAAGCACTTCACTTAAAAACAGGGAGGGCAGGGGAAATAGCAAAGAAAACCCTTCAGTATAGCTCAACCAGAGAAAGCCTGAGCAAAGCGTCATTTAGTCCTCTTGGGACATTTCCAGTCACAAACTGTGCAGGCAGGAGAGAAACAAGGCTATGGACTATTTTGAGGAATCCCTCAAAAAAACCAACACACCAACAAAACAGAAAAACCCCATCCAAACCCAGCAGCTACTTACATTATTCATTTTTATCCTGCATGTGATAGAGGGGAAAGGAGGAAGGGGGGAAAAAGAAAGTCAGCATAATTTAGAAAGAGAGCTCCTACACACTGAAAGAGAAGACACTCATTCTCAGCAAGCAGACTGAGAAAGAAAAGGAACTCAGCAAGTACCTGCTGCTTCATTGTTTTAGTGTCCCACAGCAGCAGCTTCCCAGGAACTTGGTTCATGCTTTTGCCCCCAGAGCTGACTGCTGAGAAGCCAATGTGGGAGATGGGGCTTTGGGCTGCCGCAGAACAGACAAAGGAGGCACCACTTGGGCTGCAGGCAAGCGAGAGGATCCTGAAACAGAGCGAACATGATCCTGAATTGCCTCTCTCCAGCAGCTGCCTCAAACACAATACTTGCCTATGATCTCTACCATTAAGACCCTGCAAGACAGGGTGCACTGTAAAGGAGGGCAGGATTCATGTGCTTAGACAGATTTTGAGTGTCTCCCATTTAACTGAGCAGTTTTACACTGCTCAGACAGGGACTGCCCTCTGGACGAAGGCTAGATAGTCCTGCAGTTTCAGGAAAGCAGCAGGAACATTGAGACTTCACCTACCTTTTCACAGTCAGAACCAACAACATTTATATTTACATATAAAAATCACTATTCCAGAGTTACCTGGGCATGTCTTCATCAATGCTGATTTCACAGAGATTCTTCTTTGCTTCTGTGTCATAAAGACGAACCGTCCCAACCCCACTGCCAAGCAATAGCTTGAAACCAGCAAGGAGGAGATGGAAGAAGTGTGAGTGAGGAGTACAATGATTCTGTCCAACAACCATCAAGACACAGAGTAAATTTTTTTCTATTTATGCATTTGGATTAAATGTCACTCCATTAGGGTACATCCTGTCTTTCTCTACATATCACGCTGAGAAGGACTACCCCAGAGCCACAGAAGTCAGAGTAAAAGCACTGCTTTCCAGTGAGAAGAAGATCTGATAGGCACCAAGATGGAGTAAAAGCCACTTTCTAGAGTATGGCTCAACATTATAGGATGCAAAACCTATGTGCAGTCTCATTATCTAGGGGAGCAAGGAAAGAGTAACAGAATTAACCATCTAAGTTTAAGAGAAAACCAAGTAGAAGCCTTGGGGAGAATGAAATTCAGAAGGGCTCACACATGCTTTATCAGTGGCGCTACAATTTAGATCTAAAGTAAAACCATGGAGGGATGCATTATCCAAGAAAATTAAGCAAGCCAGATCCTTCTCTCTTCAGAGCCTGATTTGCTGCTGAATCCCCATATATTTCAGAAAGAAGAACATTTCTTTCAGCAAGCAGGAAATAAAAGCAGAAGAAACATCAGAACAACTACGTGGACAGCCTCCTTTCCAAGAGCAAAAGAAAAGAAAGAGATAAGCTGTAGCACCAGCTCTTCAGAGGTGGCATTTTGGGGTTAGCAGCAACACATTGTCAGCACCAGAATGTAAGGAATATTCCCTCAGTTGCAGGCCTGCCTTCTCACACAGCCCTCTCTGTTCACCAAGGGAGGGCATGAAACACTAGCAACAGTTCTAGGACTCAGAAGAATGCATATAATTTAAGGCTCCTCTCTAGTAACAGAACTAGAGGAAAAGTGCTATGGGAAACACTTAAACTGTCATGGTATTTAAACAAGCCCCGAGCTCCTTATGCACACACCAACCCCCAAGTCATAAGGCACCAGTATAAAACTGGCCATGGAGCCCTTTTCACACCTATGCAAGTAGAATGCCAACACCACACCCCTGCTCTCTCTTCTCTGCTTGTGGCTCAGGGTGTGAGTAAAGCTCCACAGCTCCCTGTTGCAGGGTTCCCATGGGCTGTTGTACCTGGTTGCCTCTGCCTGCCTTTACAAGTGGCTGCCTGCTCTGCCTGAAGACAGGCACTTCTCTTAAAGGGGCTAATTCTATCCTGCAGCTGTACCCACACTGTAGCCTGGGAACCTCTCTCTCTCAGGGCAACCAGTGGTGGTTCACCTACTGCAAGGTGGAATTCCTTGCTCAATATACAGAGCACAATCCCCACTCTAGTTTTTCTTAGACGCTACAGGCTTCAGGTCCCCATGTGCCACTGAAGTAGAAACTAACTTTTGCCCTGATCTTATCCACAATGCATCTGTCTAGAATTTAATGTGCAACACATAGCAACACAGCCCCAAATCATCTGCTGTGACTCTCGAGCCTCCACATGCAGACTACTCACCAGCCGATCACGCTTGGTCGCCCATTCCAGAGACAGCAACGGAGATTTGGAAATGGATGAAGCTGTAGTTTGCATTATGGGGTTAAAAGACCAGACTTTGATGACCCCGTCCACATCCAAGCTGGCCACCCTCCGACCAGAACAATCAACCCTATGTGCAGAAGGAAACTGATTGGATATTTTTCTCCCTAAAGTTCTCAGATGCCAGTAGATAACTCAGTAATCCTTCCCGTCCTGGCCACACACCAATTCCTTCTGCAGGAATCAGAACTTCCTTGCACCACCTCCCGTTCAGTCCACAATAACTGGCACAATGAAGCGCACCAAGCTCCACATGCAAAGCACAGCGCCCTTAAGCAATATGATCCTCCTTTCCCAGAGAGTTTCTTCCTGGCTGGCTTCTCCCAGTCACAAAAATCTCCATCCATTCTCACTGCATAAACTACAGGCTATTTTCAGTCACACCAACTCAACTGCCCTACAACCGAGAGTACATGCACAATGTGCTGGACAGAACAGAGGCTGGGAGAAAGATGCCAGACATTGCTGGTCCTCTACAGCAGCTTGTACGAGAAAGCCCTCTTCTACCAGTCCACTACCTGCAGTACATGATGGATGAATGGTGCTCCCCATACTCCTCCTGGCTCAGGACGATGAAAGGCTGCTCCTGCCGGACCCCCACAGCCTCTGCACTGCTGACAGGCGTTTTGGTTGAAGTCTCTGTTTGCTCAGCATGCAGCTCTGAGCACAGCTCTGTCTCAGCTGTGCTAATATCTGTTTTCTTCTCAGCACTTTGGCCCTGAAGGAAGAAATACTATGTGAAATACAAGGAAGCACAAGCTCCAGATCAAGCTCTTCAGCCACCCCAGCTGGGAGAAAAAAACCCAAGAAGCTGCACTGAAAGAGAAGCATTGTCAGTTCAACACCCCTCCTACCAGGGACCTTTCTGAGAACAAGGATAGTGTGTTGCACAATTGCACCATTTAATATGGCCTCCTTCGTTGTAGAGTCCCTTATATCCCTCTTCCATGTGCCCAGCCATACGCTTTCCTGTATTAATTAAAGGAACCACAACATCTGTTTGGCATACTTCAGCCGATATCAGAGGCCCATTTTGATGCCATTAGAGCACAGTGTCACAAGCAAATCAACATATTTCAAGGAATTCTTGCATTTAAGTTAAGTCTGTGTAATATGCAGTTCAGTAAACCTGGACAAAATCTCTTGTTGGATGGTGAGCCCCAGTGGATGGATTATCTTTGTCTGCCAGAGATTTAGTCTGTGCGCAATGGGGCAACCATGGCAGCCAACTGACTGATGACAATGGTAAAGTCGACATGAGCCCAAAAGCTTAAAACCCAATTTGACAAGGCAGACAGAACAAATGGAGTTCTAGGAGGTCAAGGTATCTGAATGAGACAAGATCTGCGCTGCAGCATGCAGAAGTGTTTGAAAGCAGCTTAGTCTTCCCTTGCCACCAGAAACTGAACAAGAAGCAGACACAGCATATAAGCCAGTAAAACATCTGCAAGCATTCCCTTGCTAAACCATCCTCTGAAGATGAAATGCCCCACAATGGTATTGGTATTGATGGTTTTGAATCCCTGTTCCCTAACACACCCTTGCCTTATTTACAGTAGCTTCACATCTTAAGCAATGGGTCAAGCACGGCATAATCAAATAATCTGAAATCACAAAGCTGGAAAAGATTGGGAGATAAATCCAAGAATGCCTCTCTCTGTGTTAGTTAGTGTGGGAAGGTAACAACCAATGAATGACACTCGTGTGAAAGAAACAGTGCTGCCTTTCAGTTTCCTTTTTGCTCACATGCATTGAGAAAAAAAATTCTCTCGTAGCCTTGAATGCTCAGTCATGGAATAACATCTCCTCCCTAAAGCAGCGCTCCCCAACACAGAACAGCCACAAATACAGGCCAATAAGCAACAGTCCCTCAGCACTGTCTCTCCCCCGAGGCAGAGTGTCTCATACAGCCAAAATAAACACAGCTGAGATGCTCCCATCATTCCTCTTGCGCTCTGTATCCTTTGACCACATGGCTGCTGAAAGCCAGACAAAACACAGGTGAACAGAAGTAGTCTGCTGACCTTCAGCAGTTAAAATCCAGAATACAGTTTTATCATTTCATTAGACTAGAAAGCAGGGCACGCCCCCAGGCAAAACTGCAATATACAGTGCAAAAATCTTCAAAAAGCTAAGATTGCTACAAAGGATATTTCCACTCCTACCCAGGAAAACTTTCTATCAATTTTTATCTGTCCCACACAGAGCCTGTACAAACCAGCATAAGAACCCACAGGAGAGAACTCACTTGGGCAGGATGGGTGAGCGAAGCCCATTGCCACTAAGGAATGGGGTTTATAACAAGGTATTTTGAATATAACCATTAAGGTGGAGGAAACATACCCTCCCCAAGACCAGGCTGTTGAAAAGATCATGACAAAAGACAACTCTTCTTCCATTTGAAATGTCAATACTGATTCCCTTCCAGGGACACAGAAATAAACCAAGTGTGGAAGGAGTTGATTAACTACAGAGATTAACCTTTGATACAGTTAGAGCTGAGTAGCAATTCAGAAGCTTAACCGGAACACTTGCACTTGTTTTACCACCTAGCACAACAAACTACAGAAACACCAGCCCTCCGCTTCGCAGCCTTGCAGTGTTGCCTGGTACCTGAAAGGTCCCTTTTGACAGCAGTTCCTTCCTTTCCTTCCCATGCTCTTGCAAGCGCTTCTGCCGCTGCTGCAGGGAACTTGACTCGCCTGCTACTAACCCACTGAAGTGGCTCTTCCCGTCCTTACAGCTCACTGTTCCTTCTTTTCCTTTGGCACTCTGGAAGGCAGAGGAGTGATTTGGCAAAGTTACACTTGTGCTAGGCTGCAGAACAAAGAGCAAAAGAGGAGGCAAAGAAACCAAGCACCTGCAAGGGCTTCACAAGCCCCCAGACAACAGCAGCTGTTCTTGCACTGCATTCACACCCAGCATACACTTGCAAGGAAGGAAAGGACATCTCCTTTTTTACAGGTGGAAGCAAAAGCTTGGAGCAGTGCTGTGCTGCAAGTTAATTCCTTGGATACTGAGCACCTTTCAACTAACAGAGTTGAGAATTACCTGGTGATTTGTTGGTTCTTTCTTCCCTAGCAGCATACTGCCAGTCTGCGTTGGAGATGCCCCACTTGGATGGGGTGGTCTGGAAGGGCCCTTTTTACTTTGAGAAAGAAAAGAGGACAGAAAGCCTCCCCGGGACTGAAGAGAATGTGTAGTACTCCTCTGGCTGCAGGTCATATCACTAATTAAAAAAAAAAACAAAAAACAAAAAACACCACCAAACAGAACATGAAAGTGTAGCCAACCTGATCAAAGACCACCCAACAAGCGAAGTGCTGGCTGTTTGAACCACTGGAGGACACATGTTCCTTTCCAAGCCGATGGACCACTGTGCATTAAAAAAAATGTTTTAAAACATCCTGTTAGTGCCTGGGGCAGATCATTATAATTACTGTAACCAAAGCTCACTTCTCAGTGATGCCACTGAGACAGTGGGCTCAACTGTTGCTGAATCCCCTGTACGGCCACCTCCAACTCCTTCCACTCCATCTGGTTAGTTTAGAAAGACCCTAAGGGAAAGGCAGGGGAATCCAGATTTCCAAAGAACCTATTCAGCTGGGATTCCCAATTCAAGGCATAAAACAGACCTACTTCCAGAGGCATTCAGTATCCAGAGTTTCACTGAACACCCTTAGTTACTCAGCAAGTCATGTTCAGCAATTTTAAAGCACAGGCCCTCGATATCTCAAAAACCAGATCCAAAGAAAATAAGAAAGTTTAGGTCCATTTCTATGATTACACACACCTCCCTTCTCACCCCACAACGTCAAGAGCAGCAGCTGCTTCCCAGAACATAACTGTCTGACCTCACTCTGCTACAGCTTCCTCAGAGCAGAGCAGCACCCAGGGGAAGGGGAATACAATCATCTGCACTGTGTCTATCCTCTCTTCTATGAAGGAACTGTTCTACCAAAGTTGGGCTTTGGGTTGAGCAGAGACATGGAAAAAGCAACCAGAACTGGCTCCCAGACTAAGAGACAAGTTGCACACACAAGAAATGCCACTTCTAAGGCAAGTTCTTCTAATACAAATGGACAAAAATTACTATGGGAACAAATTATCCCATCCCTCATGTCACTCTCCCCCACGTGTGCAGATGAACATCAGGGCTTTCCACACAGAGTAGTTAAAAACAAAACAAAACAAAACAAACAAACAAACAAAAACCTCAAATTAAACTCTGTAGCCTGCCCCATGCAGAGATTGCAGAGCAGTTCTCAAGATAGCTCACCAGACACTGAAGTCTATTTAATCAGACAACTTTTAGACTATAACATAGACTTTGTGTGTGGTCTCTGCTACAACTTCTATTTGTCATTGTCAGCAGGATAATTTGTTAATCCCCCTCCTGTCTGAATAGACGTGAAAAAAGCACATGAGAAAGTCAAAGGCCCAGCAGTGTTATTAATACCCTGTGGCTAAGCTACTTTTACTTTCAGATCCCTTTAAAGCAAGAAAAAAGACCCAAAACCTCAATAACCCAATAAATTCAAACACACAGACTTGCTTTGCATGACTGTGTACTGGGGGAAAGTAAGAGTTTAAATAACAATTAAACAAGCTGTATCACTGTGCATGCTGCCTAATTTCCACAGATAAGAATACAATAGATGTAGCCATAAAACACACTAACTGCAGCAATTTTATGGGGAATTCTGTGCGTAAGTGAGCCTTGCAGAAGAGAAACTCCTTTTTGCCTTGACTTTGCAAGAGCAAGAAAGCATCTCTGCGTAACAATGAGCCCTTTGGGTCATACAGTAACAGTGTCTACAAAACAACACAGGGCATTCACCTACTGCACCGCAGGCACTAAAGTAAATAGGAGTCAAGAGAGAATCCACTTCAGTTGAGCAATACTGCAAGGTATTGTACTGCTACCAGTGCCCTGGTTGCCCAGAACGCCTTGGTGCAATGCTGAGAGCAGAGCAGAATCACCTCCATGTGTTCTTGGGCTCTCACTGATTGGCAAAAATCTCTCTCCCAAATAGCAGGGGAGATGCCTGTCATGAATTCTGCCATTAAACCCACTTTGGTAACCAGAATTTCTGCCGGGATGTCTTTCTGCATTGATTCCCAGGGCAGGGAACAAGGAAATGACCCTCCAGCAGCCTCCCTGACCCAATAAAAGCAGCAGAGCCTGTCCCCAGCTCCTCCCCTGCAGGCACTCACAGCTCAGAGTCCCCTAGTCGATCCATGTTGGCCACGTATGCAGGCAACTTGTGATGCACAACTGCTTGTTCCACCTCCAGTTCCTCTTTCTTCATGCGGGAGGATTCAGCCTGCAAAGCAAACAGCTACAAAAAGAGAAGACAGCCAAGTAAACAGAGGGTCACAGAGATTCACCTCCTTCCCACTTGCTGTAGTAGTTTACTCCTTTTATTTCAACAGCCCTAGAAGGGTGGGGAGGGAAGAAAGTTGCTCTGACTGGCTGAGCATCACATTAGTCCAAGCAGTCAAAACAATCAGTACTTTACACACATGCAACTGGAGCTTACTTAAAACCCTTCACACCTCTCCTTGGGCTGTTGCTGTAGGAACGCTAATGGTGCTGGGAAACTAGAGCCAGCCAGGGCAGAGCCGATCAGGCACTCCATGCAGGCAGTTCAAGGCCAGGGCAATGCATGTGACTGGCAGTAGTGATGTATAGGCACTGAGCCTAGAAGGTAATCTTCTTCCCACAGCCAAGGGTTTGGTGAGCTGTCAGGGTGCACTGAGGCCAACGCCATCAGGTCACCCTGAAATCCAGCTCCACACCCTGCCCAGCTCCCTCCCAAGCATGACAGGGAGATTTATCTCCACATCATGGAGAAAGAAATTTTTCTTTTTCCCCCTTAGCAGAGAGGAACCTCAGGATGCAGCTTTCTGTGACGGATGTGGTTTATGCCTGTGACTCCTCTGCACATGAAGAGTTCCTCAGGCTTTTCTGCTTCTGTACATTTGTTTTTCAGATATAATTCTTCTTTTTCCTTTTACCGTAGTATTTATGGAAAGAAATTACAAGAAGAAAAAGGAGCTTTAGAAATCCAGCTTGCTGTTCACATATATGCATTGTTTCAACAGTGAAATCAGAATCACTACTTAATTTCAACTAGCATCAAATTCAACGTTTATTCACACCATTTTTTATTTAAACCTGTATTCTATAGGTGGCTGCTTCCTTTTCTGACCTGAGCAGTTCTCCAAAAAGGAAAGTCTATAGTTTTACCTCTGCCTATTTGCCAGAGAACGCTTACCCAGTCTGTAAGTAATATCAATCAACATACCACAAACAAAAAACAGCTTTAATTTGACTAAAAGTACAGAACACAAAATTGAAGGAAATAAAAGAGCTCTACTTCAAAACATACCTTATCCTGCTGTCCCTATTCACTGACCATCTTTGCAGAACCCTCTTGTCAAAGTTTGCCTGATCCAGTGACTCCATACAGTACACAGTGACAAACCTCGCTTTTCTTTCGCAAAAAAGCCTCCTTTTTGAAATCAATTATTCTATTTTACTTCAACATTTTTAGGACAAACGAACAGTGTTGATCAGCTACCAAAACAGCTGAAACAGGAAGCACAACATACAAGATAATGTTTTGTAATACAAGAGGCAAAGCACAAAACTCACTTTACTGAAGTATTCATACAGAACGAACTTTTACTTGATATGTTTGAGGAAGTGAAACTAAAGTCCTGCTTACATGAATAAGGCTTCCCACTTGTATGTGATCATCCACATGTGATCTGTAGTTTAGAAAGTTCTTAAACTGTAGATTTCCGAAATCTCTCCTAACAAGAAATTATACTGGGAAAGGACTGACCTGTGCTACATACTCTTACACCCTCTCTCTAAGCATCTGCTGACAATACCGTCAAAAACCAGACATGGAGCTGGGCGACATTTTGTCTGAACCGGTCAGCCCTTCTTATGGTTTACTCTAAGGTCTAGAATTGGGAAACGGACATTCACAACATTTCCATTAGTTGATCTAAATTGCTTTAAGTGCACTTCAACCATGGTGAAGCAGCCATTTCAGAAGTAATAGTTTCTGCCTTTTTGCCAGAAGTTATTGCCCGTTTCTGTTGCTCCATCAGCTAAAACCTGGAAGTGACTGAATACTATTCAGAAGTTTCCATGCAAAGTCAGCCATATATGCCCTTAACCCACCACTAGTTTCAGCTTGTCTTGACTTTGCAGTGTAGCAGGAAAGCAGTTTGCACAGTATGCAGCCACCTGTCAGATAGCACAGGGAGAGAGACAGTCACCTCCAGCAGAGGGACAGTTAATACCCTAAACAGACATTTCATGATATGATCACAACCCTAAGTTTGCTGGAGACAGTTGAAAAGATAAACCAAAATAACAAAGGACTTACAGAAGAATCTGCCTTGGAATAATTGCACTGAACTGAACAGCTACAACCTTCTTGAATGGATGGAACCAATTTTACAAAACTAACAGCCTCACACAGTCAGCAACTAAAGAGTGACTTCAGTTCTGACCTTATGCCGCAACAATTCATTTTCTTCTTGTATGAGACTGCTCCTGAGACATTCAGCTTCAAAGTTCAAAATGACTGGAACTGGTGAGGAACGTTAAAGAAAACCAATGCAAGAACTTGTGTGCACCTGGCTTAATTCTAAAAGCCCGTACTCCATACTAGCCATTGGACTGTAAAACAGCAAAGCAAGAAGTATGTGCAAAGCCAGAAGACTAGTAACAGCTTAGTTACCCGAGCCAACTTTGTACTTTCTTTGTACTTTACTGTTGCACAAACTATTTCATGTAGGCTTAGCAAGGATTTTTAGATTCTTCCTTTTACATGTCAGAAGTGGAGGACAAGACAGATTATGTTACTGCATTAGTGTACACTGAAGAAACAGTTCAAGATGAGCTGTATTCCAGCTACAGTGTAAATCTGCCCATCAGCAAACAGACAAGGTCAGAACTCCGTAGTGTGGGACAAAAGCTGTTATTTCTGCTAACATTGAATTACCCTATTACAGTGAGCTGTCACTAAACAATGTTGTCAACATATGTACCCAGAGAAGGGTCTAACAGGAGATGCTAGTTCAGTTATGGACTATGACCCAAGTATGCACACCTGTTTTGTACCAGGCCAAGCAAAAAGGAAAAGCATTTCAGAACAAGATATGGACAAGATTTCTAGTCACTAGCATAGGGATGAGCTCAGCATTAGCAACAACCACAATTGCTTGTACCCAGGGAATATAATAGATCATCAGATAATTGAACAATAACTATTCCAACATCCTCTGGTAAACACCAACTTCCTACAAAGTCTTGGCTTTAAACAATCACCTGAAAGCAGCAATACTGCTGTAATTCTGTAATGCTATATTCTTGGCACCACTGTCAATAGTAAGCATAACACCAGGGCAAGGGAGATTTAACTATTATTTGCAAAAAAGGATATGCATGCACTGAAACAACACACTCAGGAAGTTGTGCAGAGACACGATAAACGTATCTGCCCACTGGCGTGAGAAATAGGTGGCGAAGGTGGGGTTGGAGTCTGGGGCAGGGAGGAAGGGCAGGACAAACCAATCCTTCCACTCCACCTGGTTCTGGAGCTCAGAGGCCTGCTTGAGGAAAAACTCCTGCGCCTTGTCATTGCGGCCAGTCTGAAACATAGCAAGAAGAACAGAGCTCATGCTTCCATTAATGCCACCACATGGGTTCTAAGAATATTTGCTCTGTGTTATGAACACACTAACAACTACTTTCACCACCCAACAGGGCAAGTGGTTAGAGTTAACAGATTCATCGGGCAACAAAAGACTCTCAAATACGCTAAGAGACGCTCACAAATGCACTTGATCTGACCTTCTTTCTACTCACCACAGTCTTGTTGAAAAGGCTGAGGCAAATCAAACTAATCACTTACACTGATTTTCAGCTAAACCAGTGCAGTTTGTGCACTGACACAAGACATGAACGTTCATACATAGGACCAAAGTGTACTTCAAATTACCCAAGTCTACAGCAGATGTAGGCTGAAAAGGTTTCCATCTGATACATTATTCAGAGAAGGACAGACATGCCTCAGGGTAAGCACAGGGCAAAACAAAACATGAAAAAACACACTTCCAGAAATGTGCATTAGATTTCGACTTCTCCACCAACACCTGTCATTAAAGATTTTCAGTCAGGAAATGGAATCAAGGAGGAAACATGCTTCTAAGTCGTAAGAAATGGAACATGAATTCCTGACAGGTATTTGTCTATTCTGTTTGCCAAAGCCTACCCTGTGTAATATATTCCATTGACTTTCTTAAGGTTTCAACGAGATAATCTCTGCTCCATTTTAAGGTCATTATTTTCTGTTTTATTCAAAGCAAACAAAAAACATTCACTCATTTTCTCTCCCACATTACCTTGTACAGATTTGAAGCCCACTTCTCCCCTCTCTTATAAACTAAAACTCAACTCCACCAACTTCAAGTCACCTTTTTTCCTTCTGGGCCCTCCAACTCCCTTGATGCTTTAAGAGCTGGGGTGCCAGGAAGGATTGGCTGAGTAGAAGGAATACAGACAATCCTGCCCGTTGATCCCCAGTGCTGCAGTAAGGCCCTTCCCAGCACTGCTGCTGCCTGCTCAATCGCTCCTTATTCTGCATCGGAGTATCTGACGACTCCTGCCTACACACAGGTGCTTGGGGCTTTTTTCTGCCTGTTTCTTCAACTTATGAAGATTGCTTTGAGCACTGTTCTTGTCCTCCTCTGTTCCCATGGCAATGCCCCACAAGGAGGTGTTTACAAACCTTGTGATCTGTCCCAGCATCCAAGTTATTAACAGAGGCTGAGCAGGACTGAGCTAGCAGTACAGCCATCCTGTCTGAGGGGGACGTGCCTTCATGTCTGAGTACAAGTATCTTGCTCCCAGCTAACCATATTTCCCTCTTGCCCAAGCTTCTCTATCCTGTTTACAAGCTTGTCATGTGAGTCTGTATCAAACTCCTTGCTACACTCCTGATACATGACACATGAATTGCTTGTCTCTTACATGCCAGGCCTGTCAGAGGCTCACAAGAATATTTTATTGCTCTGGTTTCAGAGACCAGGATCTTTTTAAAACAGAAGCCTAAAAATCAAACACTACCTGAACAGTATGGACGAGGTAGTATCGGAATAAGCTGGTTTTCAGCTTGTTCACTGTTGGCCGGTACACATCTTCCAAACGGCTGAAAAGGCGTCGGTCAAGATAACTCCAGTAATCCCGAAGGGCTGCCAGATCATAGCTCTGAACAAACTGCTGCAGCTGGTCCACTATCTTATCTACCTAAAGAGGGCAAAACGGGGAAGACTGCAGTCACATGAGGGCTCTTCTGGCACAAGAGACTTTCTGTCACTTAATGCTGAGAAACTTTAACTGCACAAATAATATTACAATCCAGCACTTATGCATTAGCTATTTTCTTAATCCTGGAAACACTCTGCATTTTGTTATTAGCATTCTTCCACTCTGCAGCACCCTTCAAATAAAAAAAAGAAAGAAACATGAAAGGACATAGCCAAACAGATTTTGACAAAAAGATTACGTTTTATTAAGCACAGTTGGTGGGGTTTTTTGCAAGTAAGCAAAACTTTCAGCTTCTTTTAAAAGCCAGTTGATAATGAAGAAACAGGAATAATGTGATTAAATGTTGAAAACTCAAGTGCAGCACCCGGAAAATAGTATTATTTTTAGACTAAAAGGAAAAAAACCTGTATTTAGCCAACAGAAAGAGGAAGAAAGATCCAGTGTACTGCAATCTTTGAAGTACCTTTATCTTTAATAATATCATCTACTAACAAGGCATGCATAAAAGTTTGCAACAGAATTTTTTTTTGTCATTATGTCTCTTTGAAAATCATTTCTGCAATATGAATAAGGCAGAATGGTGATGTGGGAATATATTTTTCATCCAGTGATTTCTGATGGCCGAGACAGGCACCAGGAAAAAAAGAAGAAAAAAATCTGCACCCTATACAAAATCCAACTATCAAAGTTGTTTAATACGTGGTTTGCTCCCCTGTCATCAGTTAATGTCTTAGGACATCATCCAGCCTCTACCTCTGCGGCTTCCTACAGATAAAGGAAACTGAAGTCTGTGACCCCAGCAGTCCCTTCTTGGACAATATAATTCCAATTAAATCAAGCATTTGCTGACCTCTAAGCATTAGCAAAGAGCTGGTGTTTGAAAAATAAAAGCAACATACTTTTTGAATGATAAAGGCAGTGGTTGTACTGCCAGCTAAAGAAAAATTGTTCAAAACCGTTCAAAACACTACATTCACTGCCCAGAACTGCTGCTACAGGAACACGGAGCTCGCAGACAGGACTGAAACCGTATTTTCGAGGCTGGCAAACTCTCCGCCGACTTCCACGCATCTCGCAAGCGAGCTGCTGCTGCAGCCATCCCAAGGAGGGAGCGGAGCTGCAAAGCCGCTGGATACAAATGTCACGCCCGAGAGAAGATCCGGGCAAAGAGCCGCCGCTGCCCTCTCCTACGCGCGTCTCCTCCGTTCACCCTCCCCACGGACCGACGAATCCTCTGGTGATTTCCAGCTCGGACGTGGGGTCCGCGGACGGGCCGAGCAGACCGCCGCCCGGTGGGCGAGCGAGCGGGCAACTGCGGCCCCCGGCTGGGAAGCCAGGCGAGGGGATGGAGGCCTTGTCC